CCCTTTTTACTTTAACTACGGCGAAGTGGTGTTAACCTACTGCCAGATACCCGCCTAATTGTTAAGTATACTGATAAGAATGATTATTGCACAATCCGTACATTTTTATCATCTGTCGACCTTTCCTGTGTAGATGGACCTTGCGAGTTTCCTCATTCAACGGGCACTGCAAAGTTTTGAAACGGCCAGCTTCCTGTACTGGTTCCTACAGCTTGAAGCCAACGAGTCCACGCCGTCAACGCCTATGATTCGAAAAATGTTCGATGCAGTTCTCCAGCGACTTCTTGCGGCTTTGAAGCATGTAAGACTGTTTTGAAGTCATTATATTCATTACATTTCGTCAAAATTAGATTTCTCGTGTAAGGTTAAACAGTTACAGCTAGTCGCTAAAACACGCCCCTGCAAAAGTCGTCTTTATCTGACTACCTTTTGCGATCTCCTGGCAAGGTTAGCAAAAATATAGTAGTGTTGTTTGTGAAAAGTTTCTCTTTTGGTTTTTCTATTTTACGTTTCGTAATTTGATAAGGTACACAAAGAAAATTGTAGGTGATATCATCTAAATCGCATGGGACATTACGCTATGCCTGCAAGGTGTTCTTTCTTCCTGTCTGCTACATACAAATCGCTATTTCTTAAGCCTTTTTTCAGCTTCTGTTTAACAAAATCTTTTCTTACGTAATTTTGCCACGAGAAAGTCCATAGTCGACCTAACTTGTTTGACTTGCGCGTTAACAGTACGTCTCCAGGACAACACTGTAAAGGTTTTGGACCTATTTGTGCCTTTTATTCACTGTATTATACCACTGGCATCTTTATAAAAGCCTTCGTCGCCAGGGGTTCCCATTGATACCACCTAGTGATTCTGTGATACCTTGCTGGAGTTCAGTATCTCACGTCAACCTGTTGGAGTGAACTGGCGGTTATTTAGAGATCTTATTCATGTTAAGGCATATTCACTGTTTCGGAGTTTCGTTTTGATTCTTGCTTCAACATTCGCCTCAGAAAATCCTCATGACAAGATTTTTAATTTATTTTAATCGCATTTTTGCCATCAGGCGTAGAACCCTCGTACGATTTTTTATACTTTCCGCGTACTCTATCACCATAACGAAATTACAATGCTTTTAGGCCTCGCCGACACAACGCAAGTGGTTTGAGGACATAACAGCCCAACAGGAATTTCTAGACCATTTGAATGATCTTCTAAAGTCAGTCCACGAAGACGCCTCCAAACGCACTCGAAAGGCAAGTTTTCCAAGATTTTGCATCTTCACCGGACGGATATGGGTATCTGACCTGTGTAGAACCAGCCTTCCAGCCAATTTCACTCTCATGAATAATTTTGTTAAGTATTTGGTTTGCGTTTAAATTGTGTCTGCATCGCTCCCCAACCAGTTCTAGTGCTTTTGTGCTTGTTA